TCTTGATGTTCTTCTTACAGTTATCTCGTGTCAACATGGGGCCCATTTGGTATGCCCAAGTGACATTTATGAGGCACCTGGGGGTCGCCTACTGCCAGTTTGGTTAGGATGATTGTGGGCCCGTGGATGCGTCTAGAATCTTTGAGCACAAAACGCCTGGTTAAATGTACGTAGTGGGTGTTGTCCGCCCCTGTTGCCACCAGAACTCGTCATTCCTGCACAGTTCTATCTCCCAGCGTCTTTCTTGGCCCTGTTGGCCTGTTCTAGTTTATTTCCAAGGCCCTTATCCAGCCAATTTTTCAGTATTACCGAAGCATCAGATTTCCTCCAACCCAAATCCGAAGCTTCTGTTTTGTCAAATCAAACTTTTGAACACGCGTGATCGAACCACTAATGCCAGAGTGCTGCATACTGCACTTATCCGGATATTGATTCTGCCTAATAGACCTTTCTATTCTGAATGTCTTTTTCCGGATACTTTGCTTATTTTAACGAAAACAGGAGCTTGTAACAGGGACCTAGTGGTATATTCTCTTCACACATTTCTTTCACAGAGCCTTAGACTACCATTTTGTGAAACAAATTAAGCCTCGCAACATGCCACTGCTTGGTGGCTTTTAAACATCGGTTGTGATACTGATTACAACTAACAGTTCTTTCCGTGTCGCAGTCTCAAGGATGTCTAGGTGCACGCCAAGTGCAGGAGCCAGATCTAATCGCGAGATCGCTTTTGAAAGTTATTAGCAATTTTACCAAACTTTTGCGGATGTCGCTTTGGTGCGATCGGTGTCGATCATGTCAAGAACACCCTTCTCCACCTTGCAGTCGCGCATTAATGCATCTGCGTCAGCTGCAAATCAAATTGGCTCAAGTCGGTTTAAATTGCGCGCGCCACCCTCACCCAATCCAATTAGACCCTACCGGCGGCGCTTGCGTGACGGGACGTCCGCTGCTTTGGTTGCAGAGCAACGAGCAATGAGTCACCGCCACCTGCCTCTCTTTTAGCTGTCCATGCCTCCTCCAACTGCCTGCTTGTGCTGTCAGCACCTTTCGTCTAATGAGGCCACATCTCTAATGTTGCCCCTGTCTCCGGGCGACTAGAAATCGCCCTTTTTACAGTCGTGTAAATGTTATTAATTTGAGATCTACGGTAGTAACGAAATACAGATAGGCTAAGATAACAAGTTAGTCGCATCTATTTCTCGGGTGGCACCTGCTGTTTTAAACCTAAGAATTTAAGCAACTTTTCACGACATTGTGCATTGCGAGTATTCGCTCGCACCAAGTCCAACGTCCGACTGTTCGAGGCGAATGAAGAATGGGTTGTTCAAGTTAAACAGTCGATCGCCAATAAAAACACGAGCCAGATGCTTGCATGCGTTTTCACCAAAACGTTTTCAAGCCGCTCAAATCATCACAGTCCGCGGTTGTACATGGAGGTTCCAGGAAGAAAGTAAGTGGGGAGACGCGACCAGGGTGGATGTGAAGAGAGTTCGAAGTGGAAGACGTTCAACTCCTGCAATGCTGTTAGCTCTACACGGGTTATTGCATTGTGGTTGATTTCACAACAACATTAAGCTTTTCTGTTGTTCTGTTAGTTTATTAGAAGCAGTGAAAGGACCCTATATCCACTGGACGAGGGTATTGTCGACAGTGTCGACTGTGCTCACTCTTACTAGGCAGGTTTGAACGAACATCGTGTAGTTGTTGAGTCAGACAACCAACTTGTGATAGCTACACGTTCAATATTTTTTTTGCGAAAGCCAAAAGTGGACGTGGGGGTGTTGTCTATCATGAAGACAAGACTAGAATGTGTTTGGGTCTCGTAATGTCGTGGTGCGAATGAGGCAATGCTGTGTTGTTGTGGCGGGATCAATCGAAGCGGACTAATTAATGGAAGATGTTTACAGTGATTTCCAAGGATGAGGTGAAGAGTTTGAGTGGGAGAATGCAGTTGGTGAATTTGAAGCAATATATTGGGAGGGATGTGCGCATCGACAATGAGGCGTTTGAGGCTGTAGAACAAGTTGTGTGTGTATGTGTGTGGCTGTATCGTAGTGGTGTGCCTATAGGTTGGCCAGGGATATGACACTGCTTTTGTTGAAGTCTCTAAGGAGGTGCATGCACTTCTCGCCGAAGTCAACCACGTCATTGCCTCCTAGGCAATATCTTTATTCTACAGTGGCATTAATCATTCTCACTAACCTTCAACCGAATGCCTGATCTGCTTTGGCTGGAATATCCGTCTAAACTGCCTCGCAAGTGGATTTTTTCCGTAAATTAGCCTTCATGTCTGCTTACATTGTAACTTGCCAATTCCTTCGTAATTGATTATCGAATCTTTCAGTGCAGGAGAAAATGAATAATCAGAACCGCCACCGCATTCACTTCTTTTAGATTATTTGGACGGAAATTGAAACAACGCACTCAGTGATTGCGTTGTTAACTAGATATTTTGTATTCCTCCCGAGGCAATTTGCGGCGCTTCCGCCAATAGCGACTTCTGCTTCCCATAGCAGATTTCACGTGCGAGCATTGAAATGACACCTGTCTTAAAGACGCACATAATTTTGGTCGTGGACACAATTCCTCATAATCTTCTCATCACCATTCTCGCTATTTATGCACCTAATTTGGTACCAAGATTGTTGTTGACGCCATATTTAACCTGGGGTCTTATTCCAGCTTAACAGTGCATTCGCAGCATCCATCAAAGTTCAAAGTGTATTCCTCCTCTGTTCCCCTTTTCACATGATATTCGTCAGAAATCTGAAGCTGAAAAGAGGCAGCCTTTCCGTGCTATGACCGTACGCAGATATCACTACTTCCTGCTAGCACAGTGCCTGGAATCATCACTTTGAGTCACGTACAGATGTGGAATGTTGGTTTTCTTTTGCTCCTTTTTGACCTCTGTTTGCCCTGTCATTGTGTAGATAAACATGGCGCCTCGTGGGTTATGTGTAAAATGCTTACCCACCATTTCCGCATTTCTCCACGCCTTAACGACCCGATGCCTGCTGGCGTGTAGTTTATCACCCAAAGCCATTTCCACTTGCCATGAACTAGCGCACAATGTCTCCTCGCCCCCCCCCACAATCACCACCAAGTTGGCTGTTGTCAAATGCTAATCCATCCTAGTAAGCTCTCTCCCAAATCCTGTGGAACATTCAATGCTGTGTAGATCGTAGCTTCGGGGAGACATTTCAGTTCTAACATCAAAAGTTAGGTGTCGTGACAGTCCCAATAAGCAATTTTTCCAGTAATTTTCTAAAATTATCTCGTAATGACTATGCCTTAATAGTGACAAAGTCTGCTCTTTGGGTTAAGCTGTTTGAACACAGCATCAAAATCATGCAGTTTTCACATGTCGGCTCAACGACTGAGCACCGACTTTTACTTTTAGTTCGACTTCCACACAAGAGGTGGTCCAGTGTCTCCTTGATCGCTTCCACATTCAAGAATCCGCTAGCAAGTTTGCTCTCTACGAGCACACCCTCGAGGCCAACACAAGTAAGTCCTGCCTAACCACTCGTTATACAATGCTGCCGCAACAGTGCGGCCTGGGTCCGCTGCGTGTCGAATATCTTCCCAGTCGTGTGTGTTGTGTATGCGTGCGTGCGGACGTGTGCGTGTCTGCACGCGTTCACGCCTGCATCAAGGCGAGCGCGCGCCGCTGACGTACATTGCGCACGCACTACCCGCCAAAATCGATACGTGCGTTGCGGCCACGTTAGCTTCTGTTCGCCCACATATCTGCACGATAATCGCGTCCAGGGCGAGACTCCTGCAAATCCGTTAGGCCTAGAGGGCGGCTACAATTCTGCCCCATGCGAAGACCCGCTCTTCCCTGCTAAAATGTGCACAACGGGGGATGCCTCTTTTGAAACCGATGTTTTTAGCTCCGTTTGTAAACCTGCGTGCTAGTTTAGAGTTGCAGACCATGTATGGGATATTTACCTCTTTCGGGTTATCTTAGGTACGCAACGCAGAAGTTTGTCGACAAATACTCCATATCAGAAAGCTGTTTTTCTATCCAGCGAAACATTTAATTGTCCTGAACACTAACGGCGACCAATACTTCAATAATACTAGGAATACCTATTCTTGTATGCTTGGAGATTACAGAGGTTGACAGTCAATGCTCAAATTCGTCTCGGCTCGGATTTTCAGTACACAAGGCATTGTCGGTGGGTGTGTTTGAGTAGAAGCTGTTGCAACGCCATATTACCAGTTCCCAACAAGGATGAAGCCTGCTGAAGGACAGAAAGTCAACCGTTTATTAGAGAACTTGACGAAGCTGTGGCGGTGTGTGGAGTTTGCGCGTGTGTACTTATACCTCAGATGAGTGAGTCATACATGCTCTAACATCGAGACCTAGGTGTGAGGGTAATCCAGGATAAATACCTGTATGAATGAGGGGGGAGTTGAGGATTCACACGGCTGGCGACATGCTGCGAAAAGCGAACCTTGTGTGGGAGGATGGAGCGACCGGATTGAGGAGTGTGTATAAACACGATTCCGAACAACGCTATTCTAAATGTGGAATCACAATGCATTGTTTGTGATTCAGAATGGTCTTGGAGTAAGTTTGGTGTGATGCAGGTCCTGCCGAACGTGATTTTTGACCAGTTATGTAGCAACCACGGCCACTTACTATTCTCATATCCTCTACAAATCGGGTGTGTTTGTCTAAGTGTTCTGAGTCGACTGGCGACGTGCAAATGATTAAACATATGGCCTTTGTGTGCAAATGAACCTCAACCGTAATTACAGTAACTACTGTTTAAATAACTAAAAGTTTTCCGTATATTTACTGCAGTTAACTCCGATGCCGGGAAATTCTCCCTTGAATCAAGGATCGTTAGCACGAAATAAGGACCTAATTGGCACTATGCAACGCTCTGAGTTTCCGATAATGTAGTTACCTAGTAGTGGCCTGATCCACCCTGGCTACCAAACGTGTCATGTTTTTTGGAACTTCCGGAAATTCGTTATTGATCAGATGCTGCGTTCATCTGTTGCATAAATTCAGTAAAGCGCCCCAAAAGTAATCTTCAGATATCTCACAAATCGGTTACCTAATGCGACTTGTGTGATGGTTCGATAAGGTAGTCGAAACTAAGCACTTGAAGGGCACATCATTTAAGTTGTGACACCGCGATTTTGCGGACGTCATGTCAAAGTCTTCCACCCACTTTCCAGACATTCACCATTGAGTAAATTTGACGTTTGCGTTGTCAAAATGGGATTTTCGTGGGCATATTTATAGGATCTCGTAACCCTGATACACACAGTAATCCTCTAAAGGGTTCGCATTTTTTGGCCTAAGATACGCAAGCAGAAGCCACGCGCAAGTCTGGAGTTATTAACCTGTTTCCCCTGCGGGAAAGATGCCCGGCTCAAACACCGCGGAAGTGTGGAACGAAAATTTGCATTTGCGTTTAAACGTCGTGGTCGTAAAAGCACGCACTGTGTTGTCGTTAAACGCATCCTACACACACCCAGATTACTTCTGGTTAGGTATGAGTGGTTCTTATGAAACAGCCATATTCGCGTATCAACAGCTTTGATTGCAACTGTCAGAAAGTGACTCAAAATGTCATTTGCCGTTTGCCCAGTTTTCTCGCGGAAGCTGCCCTCTTCTGAGCGCCCACTTTCCATGGTGATGCACTGGGTCCGTTCAGCTCTCGCTGCGGGTGAGGAGTTTGCTGTGTCCATTCGACGGAAGCGTATCGTCCTGCAGGAGAACGAAAATTGGGAGGTCAATGTACGTTCGTTTTCTTATTTAGCCCCCATGTCCCCAGGACACTGTTTTTACGTGGTAGGGGATCAATGCAATTAGCGTAAATATTGGAATCGAAGAGGTCATTTCTGGTTTTCAGTGCTTTAAACCGAGCTACGATCCGCCCTCGTTTTCGGGAATAGCTGGAGTTGGTACCAGCACCAAAACATTTATTTCATGACAAACAAATTCCACTCGGATGCCCCTTCCCTTCTAAATGCTTCAGTGTATATTTGTGTTCATTTCCGGCGCCGTAAGTTTACACGCTAGCATGTGCGCAAATGCGGTGCTGTGTGGTCGTCAAGATCGGTTTGCCGATTTGTTTATTCGTTTATTTCTGCAATAAATTTTTCACATGCTTGGCTCTCCGGTTCCCGTTCATAGTACGTGTTGCGTTGAATCCCCAAGACGTTTAAATTGGCTCATCTTAACAAGACTTAAAACTAAAATAGCGTGTAAAAAATTCTACCTATCTTCCTTATTGCCTCTTAATATAAGTGCAATGCTAGTCAAGTAGTGCAACGACATTTTGTCTGTTTACACTTTTCGCATTTAAAATCTCGAAAATACTATGACCGCCTTACGAATCCACTTAGCTGTTTGAATCAGTCCGAATGAATTTGGAATTCCAGCTACCTTAGTGCATGTACTCACACCTTCGTTGTTCAATGCGTTAAGGTCGTCATTATGGTGTCACACTGTTTGGCCTTTTCAGTGGTCCGACTTTACGCCGGCAGAATTGACCAACTTCCTGCGCATTTTGGAGAAGGAGGAGGCGGAGTACCGGAACGCCATTTATTTTCAATACGGTCTCGTTCGCCAACAGATAGAGCAGAGGATGGCCCAGATCAGCGCTCACGACCGGCTTCTGGCGGCTCGCCACTCCGTGGCCACCACCTGTCCCCCGTCCGAGCACCTCAATGAACCAGATCAGCACCTCAGTGGCGCCTCAGTCTACCTCGGAAAGTCGCCGCCACATGCCAGTCTCTGAAGTGCAAATTCCACCCCCACCCAAACCCACAGCCACTTCTTGTACATAATTTCTAGCATTGATTGTGTTGCTTGCCTTCTGTTTCTGCAATTATCACCTTCTGGAAAAAAACCGAGCCAATGGACAATTATTGTTGTTTGTTTCCTTTTTCTTTTAGGCGATTGTTTCACTTCTGGTAGCTATCCACAGAGAAGCCTTAAGCTAAAGGAACTTTGCTGTTGTGTTTGCTTGTCCCCAGGTTGATGAACCAAGTTAGGCGCTAAGGAATTAGATGTAGGCTTTAACTCTTCGTCAAGATTCTCTGGTAGGCCCTATGTCCCACTTAGTGATCAATCAAGCGGAACACGGAAATCATTCCAGTATCTTCATTGTCTTCTTTGTTCCAAGCAGTTATGTGGGACGTTCCTGTTAGTCAGCTACAGCTGTTCGTTTTTTTTTTCACTCCAACACCACCGGGAGGGTCTGCATTCAGGCAAGACCAATTGACTGCGGCATCGTTCATTCGGTTTAGAGAACCAGGAGGGGCCCCGCGTTAAGAAAGGAAGAGAAGTTAACTTTGAAACAGTAAAATGGACGCCGAATACTACGGCAACGTGTATGGGTATGCGATTGTGGCTGGATTGGCTGTTTCCGGATTGGTGAAGATCATTCAAAAGGTCAAGCACCGTCCGCTAAAGTCCCTCATGACATTTCCACCGTATTTCTCTGAAGTGCATATAGTATGTTCTACTGGGTTGACAGTTTGATCCATGATCATTCTTTAGAAGTGCATTATATGCAAAAAACTAGTCTACTTTATCCGAAGTGTCACGACTATTAAAGCATAACAACTTATCAGCCAATAAACTCCCAGACCGGTTTCTTTCAATAGTCACAAGGGTGGTTGTCTTTATATTCGAAATAGTTCGCCGGCAGCGATTCAGCGAATGCCCTGATTCCATCGTTCTGGTGGTTGGTTTTATTTGCTTCAACAGGCGGTCCTGCAGGGAGTTCGATTCTTGTGAACTCGCACCTTTAAGTGCGATCTGCAAAGCATTTGGTCAGAAGTTGTCAAAGGCTATGAGGCCTGGGCCATTTGTGGATGTATTAGAGCGTTCCAGCCACGTTGTGGTGCCTGGTGCCAGTTTCCACCCAAACCGTTTTGGTGTTCCGCTTGTGACTTAAAGCGACCGCGCTGTCGTCAATCGCTTTGCTCTGTCAAAGTCGGTGGTGGATCACTCTGCTTCGACAGCGATCCCATTCTAATAATGCTGCTCTGCTGCGATGAGGTGTGGGCAAAAGTAGGACCGGGATGGCCGGTTACAAGCAGGGTGGCAGGTCATTGCTTTTTTTTATCGTGTGATGCGACCTCCGAGAACACGGAATCTCGTCTAACCCGAGGCTCCGTAAGTGTTTCTAAATGACACCGACTTGTATTGGAACGTCAACGATTGCTCGTGAGTGAAGCTCGCTGACAGGAATGCTGATGTCAATGATTCATTCCTATTTCCTTTGGTTACTCCTATTAGTAGCCTGTCTTGTTTCTGATCTCGAATTGTAACGGGCTGTTAACTAGAATGTTTGTAAGGTAGTGCAGGCTAATCACTGCAGATAAGTGCTTAGTGCCCAGCTCATTTCAAGTATTGTGAGATGCCATGCGTTATTAGTCCCGATTTTTATGTACCTTCAGCAGACTTAGTTGAACTAATCATGGGATTCACAATTTTGAGACGATTGTTTGCCAAATATATAATAATTTGTGTATTTTGCCTCAGTGAGTTACGTGGACTTCCTGCCAATCACTGATCCACTCTCGCCCAGTGTAAACATCATATTCCACTACTGGCCATGTTTCCATTCATATTTTGCCCTCGAATGAGCTTTTTTCGCAAACGTTGCTGTTACAAGAACACGACCTTGAACACGTTCGGCTCATTGATTGCAGCAGACCGGCTGTAGCCAATGATCGTGCTGAATTCATATAGTACTTTTGCCAAGGATCTACAGTGGCTAGCGAGTTTTAAAAAAGTATCCCATTAATTCTTTGCCACTTGGGCATTGTGTGTACACATGTGGAGAGGGGTGCTCGAGTAGTGTTAACTCAGGATAAGTTTACTCACTGTAACAGCTTCCTCTGGTGAATATGACGGTACTTGAGATAGTCCATCTAGGTTTACTTAATGGATGTTCCCATTGCCCCGAACTCTTCGTATACCAATAACGGTTTTGTCAATTACGTCATGTCTAGCTTGAAACAGATGGGTCAAAACTCATTCCTAATGATTAGTATGTCTGAAATTTCAGAGGCAATTGCTTTTAAAATGATAAATTTTAGCACTGCACAGTAAACATGTAATAATGTCGATGAAAAGTGCATTGTTGAAGTTGCAATTACGCTAAATTTAACGATTGTATGGATACCACAAATAGCCTTTATCTGCAATTCTTCTGCTTATCGCGATAAATAAAATATACCCTTAACTCACACTAAGGTAAGGGTGGTGTTTTGCAATGCCGTTCATAGATTTTCACCAATTTGGAAGTTTGATCACCACAGACAGTCATAAGATAGTGCCTAAACTAAATGATGCTCAACCGGAAAACAAAGTTTCACAAAATTAGAAGGACCAGAACCATGTTCTTTGTTTGCAATTTAGTAGGTAAATCACTTTTATATGATCTTGGAATTTAAGAAGTCGCATTACGAAGGAAAACCATCGACATTCTTCTAGGAGTCATTTTTGTACAAACCAGCCTTTTCTATATTAGGCAGAGTACATTTCGTTTGCTTTTACATCCCCGTCAATTGTATTTTTAGAGAACATCACCTGGGTTAAATGTGGAGTAGTTTGGAAACTGTCTTGATCTAAACTTTTTAACATACACTGCACCCCTAGACATGTCACCAACTATTAAATTATTATATGACTTAATTTTTAGTTGATAAATTATTTAGGTTCACGCCCTTCGAAATTTCTCACGTGACACTAAATTCAGAACTCAATTTTAAACAGCTTGTGTCATGACTACATAAACTTGTATCAAAATTGATATCAAAGGTGCGTCAATTGTTTCCGAAAATACCATGCAACAAACCGATCAACTTGGTAAAAGGTTTGTTTTTCAGCAAGATTCCAAGGAGAAGACTATTTCCGTAATTAAATAAGTACTCACCAGCAAGTGTGGATAAATGACTGGGTTTCAATTTCCTGTTAATAAAGCCACTCGTTATTTTAAACATATTAACCCCTTTGCTGTAATTTTATACAACCAGCCAATTATGGGGCAACCAATCACTTAACTTCATGGGTTGTTTGATTTGCTTAACTTACTTTACTCAAACCAAGCTCAATGCACACAACTTCTGAGATTTCCGCGCGCCAACCCGTTTTGGATTGCCCCATAACCGTTTTAGTTTGCAAACTTAGACTGTACGTGGTGTTGCAGCCCTTTGTCTTGTCTGTAATTTCAGTAAAACAATTTTTTACTCCTCGCTCACAAAATTTGCTTTAAAACATGGTAGGTGAAATTGTCTGGCTAACGCCTCAAACATTGGCATTTAGTTTTATCATTGCTGTGCTGCCTCCGAAATTAAAATAACATAGATATTACTGCATTAGGTCTAAAGCGGTAAAAATAGAGAATTGTAATGCGTAGGCAACAACAAATAATTCCTATTTCGCCAGTCTATAATTAAAACCACCATTTATACGAATAAATTTGTTTTTGCCTTTTTGATTACATTGCCAATCAAGCCAAAAGTTACCGCCAAGATTGAATAAAATAAGAATGTGTCGGGGTTGTCAACATTTCCCAAGCCAAGTAAATTAAGACGTCGATTCACTTGAATACAACTCTGCTGCCACGCCACATCGTCGTCCACACCAAAAACTCATCACTGAGTTGTTCACTCAACTCGTCGATCAGCGTTTTTTTAAATAAGACAACCGAATAATCCGCGACCCCCAGACACAACTACCTCGAACTTCCCAGATGGCCACAAACACCACGAACGTGTTCTCTAGAAACAAACAAGCCGGTCGGAAATAACACTGAGATATCTTTGATCAAGAATCTTTTTGGAAACGTAGCAATTGGACATGGCTATATAATTTGGTAGTAACATAGCAAAAATATTTTCCTAACTGAAATTAATAATTTCATTTTGATGTCTCACTATGATATAATTATCTGTAAATATAACAGCAAATTTGCTCCGAGTTTAAATTGCCGGACGTGGTGCTCGCCTGTATGAATTTAAAACGTATAACTACTTATATAATGCAAGTAGACAGTGCGTCATAGAACAAAGAGATGATCTGCGTTTAGATTTGCAGAATTACGCGAAAAAAACCCTATTTGCAATAATGTAAATCATCGTCTTTAATTCCCCTTTAGTCATTGCTCTTTTTTAAAGTCAGCTTGCCCTTTTTCTTAGGTATAAAAATCAAGGTCGAATAAAGTATGTCTGAAGGCCCCTCCGATACATTATCAAAACAGGCAAACACCTCAGCTACCGCCGGAGTCATTTCACTTCCATGCCTGCAGCTCAAGAAAGAAGTTGTACTAATGACCTTGGGTTTAAACAACTTCTGGGTTCTTCTAGGAAATGGTAGGCCCTCCTGCGTAAACACTGTACACATCGCTTCAGAACACCTCAAGGACGAAACAAGTGTTAAAGACAATCAGAGGTTTTGGTCGTCGGAGTTACGTGAGATATTTAGTAATAAACAACTGTGCCTTTGGGTCATCAAACACACCTTGCTTAGTTCAATTGCACCAGATGACGATGGCACGCCTAGATTGCCGTGTGTGAAGAAGTTCACACGGTGTCACTTGAAAAGGTCAGGCTGCATTTATGACCAAAATGGGCATCTGGTCCCGCATTTTAAGGGCAGTTTCTGATGGCCCATTAGTTCTACATCGCTGGTTACATTAAAGACATTATTTCCTGAAGTTCGGTTTTAATTTCAAGGCGGTTTCAAAGCAACACCAAGATCAGACTGAACTTGAGATTTTTTGGAGTTTGATTCCTTGTGTCCTAGCGCTCACTATCAGCAGATAGAGGAGAGATCGTGTCCCATTTGTGGTACCCGTAGTCACACCTGTCAGCAGATTTTGCTTCGTTTCGTGTCACAGAAAGCCATGTCCACTAATCGCAACATAAACACAAACACGCACGTTTTGGGTGCCAACACGAATCCTGCGCTTAGGGTATGCCATCACGTCCACGCACCCGCCCCCCCCCCTCCGCCCACCACGTCAGGTGACACGTGATTAGCAGGGGCGTGATACTGACGACCTCTCATGACCCCTGTGCGTCGGCTACACCAGGCCGGTTGCGCGTGCAGTGTGTGTGCGCGCCTGTTTGTGTTCGAGATATCACCGGGCTACAGGTGTTCATTTCGGTTGGAAACCACGTGGTGAGCATTAATTTCATCGAAATCTGTAATAATCGAGCCGCCGTCTGAGCTCCACGTCGTCTTTGTGGTGCGTAGATCGAAAACCACAAGGCGAACACCACAACCACAAAACCAGGTAGGTCAGGGGGGATGGTGCGTTTCGGCCTTCCGCCCAGGTAGCGACGATTTTCCACTCCATCAAGTTCCCACCACAAAATTCACCATGACACGTAAAAATCTGCCAAGTACCTTTGGTTTTAAAATTGGGTTTTTAAGGCAGTTGGCAATTAAAAGTGCTAATTGTGTCAGCGAAAAGGTCGTCATGCCTGTAGAAGGGAACGCTTGTACTCCTCCATGAAACCAGGAAGTTTGCTGAGCCATTCGCATAACTTAGGACACTTTTGATCTCGTGGTGTTCTACTCGTCCCCACGTGCATGGTTGATTTGCATTGCTTTTTTTTTGCTTTTTTCCGTCGAAAAGATCGCGCGCACTGGTTTGGTTTTCAATGGGGTAGAGAAATTGCTCCCGATTAGTTAACCTCAAAGATTAGCCTTAGCCTTCGTGATAAACTGGAGGATTGATATGCAGAGTTTAATAGTTTAAGGGAGTTTACCAAACAGACTAGGCTTATCGTTGCCCATTTATCTTCGAACTGACAGTCGGTGGACAAGTGTAGTCGTAAAACGTGCCTTCAGCAAGCGTCGGGATTTAATCTCCCTCTGTAATCATTATTATCAGCTCGATAACCAATAGCCGAAGGAGTCACGGTGCTGAGCAGTTTGGCCTGAAATCTACCACCGGGCTTCCCTATTGTAGGTCTCGTGATTGTTTTACACACCAACTCTAGGTGATCGACGTGGTCAATGCAGCTTCATTTACTGTGACTTAAGAATTTTCGTTTAATCTTCTCACTTTTACTAATCATTCGGATCTATACGTTAAGGCTGTTGATTTTCGGCTCAAATGAGTTGTCCTACCGTGAGTGTCTTCTTTGATTCACCCCACTGGCGCTTTGTCATAAGTTGAGTCATTTAATCGCCACCTAAAGAAGAAGAAGCGAAAGTCACAAAACTACTACAATGTGAATACTTGTGCTCCGTGGGCATTCGGACAAGCTTATAGTCTTGCAGCAGAGCATGCACGCTAACGATGGCCTTAGTGCAAATGGTTTGCTTGCTTTTTTGGGCAGATGAGTGCATAAGAAATTGAGGACGATGAGTCCCTGATTGAGAGCAGACGCATCATCCGCCTTGCTCCAGGGATTCCTAAATGCCACAGCGTGTGTGTGTGCTTTGTCCCACTTATCCTCCAACAAAGAGGAGAGGGTGGAGCCCACTTTGAAGACGACCCAGCAACCAACGTCTACAGGAACACGCACACGCACACTCTCTCTCCTCTCGCCTCCTTTTTTATTTTGCAGCTCGCGCAATTTCTCACTGAGGGGCACTAACCAGCCACGCGACTCCCGAGTAAGCGTCGAAGCGCATTTTTCTTCCTCTGGGCAACAATAAACGCGAATGATAATGGTGATTGTGGTGGATATTAGTACTAGTGGTTCTTACGATCGGCTAGGTTCGAGTCCTGTTTTTGGTAAGGTACCATCCAACGCGTTTTCAGAAACCTCCTGCTTATCTTACAAACAAGTGCTCTTAAGTAGTGAGGTAGCCCAGATCTCAGTCGAAGGACGGCGTGACTCAAATATTCCGCACGAACATGGCAAAGGAATTGGTTTAACAGATGAGTTGGAAAAGAAAGGGTTAATTTCAACTGTAACAAGGTGGTGCGGTGCTTTGTAGGGTAAATAAAATCACAACACTGTGCTGTCATATCGGATTCGACTAACCCTAATTAAAGTGGGTGGTTACCACAATAAAAAATATCGTAAAAACCTCGACGTAAGTTTATTAATGTGAGAACCTTTAGACTGCTGGGTTGGTAGCGATTGGCTCGACCGAATTTGTAAATAATGCACTGAAATAGCACAATTCTTGTATTGGGTTATCTGACTTAACCTAATGAGAGCATCTTCATAGTTGATAGCATTGTTTGGACTGCTGAAATAGCTGAGTTGAGTGTGAACACTCACCAGATCAATGATAAGACGTTATGGGCGTGATATTAGGGTCGTGATGAAAGAGACAAGGTTGGCTGTATACGGACTGTGATTAAGTGACTTCAATTAGGAAAATTCAAAAGCAGCTCATTACGTTTCGTTTAGAGGACGTTGTGGATGAGCCAGAGCATTTCAGATGTATTAAAGGCTTTAACTGAACAAAACCCACGGCGGGCAGCTGCCTCATTTAAGCATTAGCTAAATGCCACGGTTGGAGGTCCAATGTGTGGTTGAAAAACGGTGTGCACACGAGAGAAAAATAAGTGCCCATGAGTATCGCAAGTTCTTAGAGGGACCACTAATTTCAAGCTGTCACGAAACTTCTGCCAAGGCGGAAAACGCTCTTGATATATCAACAGGATAGATCCTTTGCAGGGTTCCGTCACGGCACAGACTACGAGAAAACTGTTGGGGGGATGGGGTTTGACTGGTTCACGTCGCCCTTCATGTACACTCACCGATGCTGCCGCAGAAGGCTTTAAATGGAGAATGCTTTTTAATCAGGAAGCACAATCGGATATGCTAGAGTTGCAAAAAATTTAAATCGAAAATTCGTCTCAAGTGAGCACATCACTAACTTCAAGCTAACAGGGGAGCACTTGCAGAATTGATCGGATAAATTGCACCAAATACTACTCGGTCCCCGATTACGCGTGTTTGCATGCTTTTGATGTGGCTTGTGACGTTAAAATGGCATCAACATGTCCCCACTAGACTTCAGCGAACAAGCGGCACCACGACTGTCGATTCCACTCGTGTCTCTTACCCATAATTCAGATTGTGCGCACGCTGCAGTCAGAACAGGTTGGAACATGGGAGGCAGCAGTAGGCGCACATTGTGGCCCCCTTTTATTGAATAAACACACACACACACACACATGAGCGCGTGCGTGTGCGAGCTTACACGCTGACTGGGCCAGTTTAAACAGTCCGGCACCACACATCACACGACCCAGCAGCAGCAGCGCCGGCAGCGGTGGCAGCAGCAGCAGCGGCAGCCCGATTATCTGGTCGCCTATTGTTTATGCAGACCTAGTGTGTGTGCGTGTGTGTCGGGTGGGTGGGTGGTGGTGGTGGTGGTGGCTGTGGGCTGGTTGAGAGTAGGTAGCACAAGTGCAAACTTACCCCTCACCCCACTCGACTAATTGTCGTTGTGGCTGTCGTCGAGTTTCCGGTAGTGACGGGGCAATCGGACACGCATGTGTGCGCGTGCGCATATCCGCACAAACACGCACGCACGCACACATTATAAACAATACCCAGGGGAATTACTAATCGTACCTGCGTGGTGCAAGCGATGCACGTGTTGGTGCCTGCTGGGTCTTAGAGAGAGCATGAACAAGCGAGAGAGGGATGACAAATGTGTGTGTAGGCTGCGATGATGGGCAGACGGCAGTACCAACGTCTTTGAGCATGCCAGTGCAACGCATGGGCGTGGCACCACCGCAGGAACTGCCGCTTTAACGGATCCAGGTAGGACATTATCAACGGGCGGTGTACTGGCTTAGCATAGTCACTGAATTTGCACAGCGAGGTGTTCGCATCCATAAAGGTTTCATCAGTTAGCCCAACTAATTTAAAGCCAGCCCCAACTGCATCGATGTAAGCAAGACGGAGCTGCCATGGCACACGAAAATGTTCTTTTAGATGAGTGGACTAAGCGCCTCAATCTGACGACGCATTGGGTGGTGTCTTAAGGCGGGTGGGGACAGACCCATCACTAACGCAGCCTCAGTTGCTCAAAACAAAATCTAAAATTACCCGGGAAGCAATATTAAGAAGACCTAAAGTAATCGTTGTAAATTCCACTGTTGGTGTACCGGCAAGGCACTCTTTAGCGAAATTTTGTTTCCAACTCAACATGGGGGAAATACCTCCACGAAAACCAAACGCTAATGCTAGAAAATGCAATTAAGTTTCCGAATAGTATAATCTTATTGTGCTAGTATTAACCTTTTGAACTTTCGACCCAACTTCTTCGAGTTCGTATTAATAGCGATTAGCCCTGGGAGGTACTGAGCATTTTTTTGGATGAAATTGCTTGAGTGAACGTATTCTTGAATCAGACGCTACGCGAAATACATGACTTCAACACAAAAAAAGCTAAATCTGTGGCTTGATTTACAGCCAAACGTTTATGGGAATCTGCAATGGGTTGATGAAATGTGTACCTGAAGGTTCCGTTCAAAACTGCGGACCACAGTTTTTTGAATGCCATGAAGCAGATTCTTTTTCCTCCTGAAACTACTGATTGGAACAAATCAAGTCAGTGAAAAAGGTGAAATTCGGCAGATTTATCCATTTGAAGCCCAACAAAGGCGTACATTCTAGTTTACTATAGCCCCATTCAAAACCATCGCAGAGCATTCCGTCTCGTAGCCCTCTCACCCGCAGAGTCGGAATTCTGGTAGCCAGTGAATGCATTTTCGCTTTGGCCCTAGACAATTTAAGCGAATTTCTTCTTGATGGAGTGGTGTGATTTGATGAGGGAGAATTCACACGTCAGCGCCCTTTGCCAACTATGTGGGACGTTTTTGGTTTAGCCCCTAATTACAATCGTCAGTCTTACAAATTCCCCGTCTTAACCTTTGTATTGCAGCCTAAACTTCGGAAGATCTGGTACCTCCATTCGACCACTAACATCGAAGTAAAACACTGGAAAATGCAACCTGGCTTAAGAGACTCCGAAGGCAATTTTTTGCAGAAATTGATTCCAGAACGATTAGCAGCTTCTCTGCCGTAAAATTTTATGGACGACTTCCCTGAAAATCGACTTAGATCCACAGTTTCTGATTTGGTTTTGTTGACTTATTTACCAAAATGGCACAAGTATATGATTTCATTAGAAGTGCAAAATCTTTTTAAGAGGATAAATTTTGGAGAGCAAAAGGTGGAATGTTTAAACTGTCAGCTGTGGAGCCTTGACTGTCAGATCGACGAGCCTCCACAAAGCAAGCAAGCAAACCTACTCACCCATCGAAATAGGCACACCCACACTGACAGGCACAGGTGATTTGCATGAGACGCCACGGGAGCAGCAGACGGGGCACGGCGGGTGGCGGCGGGCGGTGCTGTGCGATGACTTGGCGACTCCTCCGCCTGCGCCATTGCAATACTGCTGTTCATAGCGGCCACCGGGAAGGCAATTTGCATTTTGCAAAAGCCTGGCAACTAGCAGTAAACACTCACGAAGTCCTGTGTCTCTTCTGTGGTTCAACAGAGCGGCTGTGTAACAGAAATTGAGGGTTCCTGCAATAATTTCCTTTCAGGGCTTGAATACACTTGGAAGGTTATCGCTAGTCAAAATGAGGTTATGTTTGTAGGGTGCATTAAAGATACAAACTAGCATCGCTCATTCTATAACTTAGTACTGAATGTTTACAAAGTGGCGTCAGAGAAAAATAGGCTCAAATTTGTACTCGATTTTCAAGGATGGCAAGAAAATGCACTTTTGACCGTGAGGATATTTCTTTTCTAATCCTATTATTAACCGACAGGTATATAAATCCAGCATGAATTAAAACAACCCGAAATCATCTTGCATCCAATGTTAGCATTCAAGATGAAAAATGAAAAGTTGTGTTTTCGTTATGTTGGGCTAAATGAGTTATAAATGGAGTAAGGTTGAACAACAACAAAAATATTCAAGGTATTTTTGGTTACTGCATCGACTCATAGGACAATTTAAAACAAGTTTAATCGGCTTCAAAGTAGTGACTTTAATCCGAACCATAAACTTAGTTTCTGGTGACCTTCTAGCACTGATAATGACATGATCTGTGATTTAGTTAATAATAATTAACGGATTACCACTGAAAAAGTAGCGACTGGAAAAACATCATAGTGCAATTCAAGAAGGATTTCCTGATGGTAGTCAAAGATCGGTCAGGCAGAGATGTGAGGCAGGCTCTGTTTGCGACTGACACTCCAATCGGTGGGCTGCTGGAGTGGACCTTATGTCGGTGTGGGCGCAGGGGCTGCATTAGATAGACCGGACCTGTCTGACACGCAACAGGAACAATAAACGCCGAGGTCTGAGTTTAGAGGCCCGCCTTACGCGTATGAAACTTTTCTGGGCTACACAGAAGATGAGCAATCGACATTTTCCTCGCTAGCCAGACCCCTAGGTGGTTAATGGAGGTAACTGACGAAAAAGCAGCAATTAGCTAACACAATTGCAATTTCGGCCTACTTTATTTTAGTGAAATTCGACGCACGAAAAGTACAATGAACTTTCACCACCAGTCATGTGATATTTACCCTTCGAATAATCGGCCCAGCAGAACAGGAACAAATTAGGAACTCAAGGTCGCTGGCCTCGAAAAAGGTTTAGCAGCAGTCAAGTCGAACTGCACCCAGCAATGTTCGGGAGCTCGGCAGAGGGTTTGATGTTTTGCGTGAGAATTCAAGTCACCACCGAGCCTTGATGCACTAATCACGCTTTCACCACTCGCAGTGAAATTGCCAGATGTGTGTATGCGGGGGGAGGGGGGTTGATAGTTTAAGATTACAGTTTAGGTAGTTCGTTCATGTCCCTTGGGGAGTTAATGTGGAGTTGCTGTAAGCACAGTTCATCGGATTTAGCAGTTGTTTCACAGGTGGGCTGACAAAGTCGCTGACTTATGCATTAATAATGTAATATAAGCTATGGACCATTAAAAGTGAATCATTTATATCAATACTCGATATTTATGACTGGCTTGATATTTTGTGTAAGTTCACCTTGTTAAAAGCAATTGCTACATAGCCCGTTTTAATTTGCAGTGAAGTTGCGTGCATGCGTGCGTGCGCGAACTGACTGTGTTTACATTCGCGACTCATTCGAGCTGCACAGCCAGGCCGCTGTGCTGACGTTCTTAGAGGGAAAAAGGTGACTCGACTGTCACCGCATTGGGAGCAATGTTTTCCTTGGGAAAATCCATAAACCCCATGCAGAACACAATCAGGTCAATAGCAAACCTTTTACCCTCTAGTCAACCTCTTGATACACCGGAAAAAGGGCAGGAGGGAAGTTTCGGTCAGCCTGAACCTATGACTTGGGTATACTCCCAAGCCAGCTATTCCCACATGCAAAAGAACTCCCAGTCTTCTATGTATCAGCCTCAAACACTCATTTATTCTAACTTCCACTTGATTCCTATGCTTAAGTTGAGCTAGAAAGTGACAGGGAATAGCAGAGTTTGGATTCTATGAATGGCGATAGAGGTCAAGGCCAAATGCCTTTGGCTTTCATTCTCTTCTGTGGCATTGTCAAGCGTTTGACACCACTAATTCATCTGGCTTGAATCTCAACTTTAATCGGCCTTAGTTGAGTAGTTGGTTCAAGAAAATCCAGATTACAAATAATTATATGTATCACATAACTACTAATCAAAGGCGCTGACATTCGTTAACTCCACTCACATTTATGTGGAAGCATGGGACATAAATAATGGTGAGATCCTTTTAAATCTTGTGAAATCCTCGATTGTGATTATGTCCCCTTAAACGAACTTATCACACCTTCGATCAAAAAGTATATATTGTGGGTGGGTGTGTGGATAAGGCGGGGTTAGGGGCGTGGTATGAGTTGAGACGTGTAAGATTTGGCTAGTTGATACCATTTTGAGAATTTTTACCTCGCGGGGGTAAGGAAGGCTGAAAAATCACGATTTACTGTGATGATAAATCGAATGTCAAAGGTACTATTCATAGCAGTTACTTCCATCCGCATAAAAAGTATCTATAACGCTAGTGGAACAATTGAAAGGTTCTGCCATGTAATAAGAAGTGGCATATTTCAAAAAATGGCTTCCCAAACTACGTTACCTTCAATGTGTCAATTATACCAGACAAAATCACATCAAACTTATTCAAAAGTAATACCTGGAATGTGGTTAGTCTGGTACTACATCCCCACTACCACCTGCCAAACGGGCTGTCGGTGGTGGTGGTGATGCGGAAATGACTATTATCATAGTAAAGGATAGGTATGGCGAGATCTCGAGGGTATGCATGTGACCCAGAGTTTTGATGCGTGTTGTTCGACTGAGTAAACGGCATAAAATACTAGTAATATACTTGTTAAAATTGCTAAATAATAGATGAGCGGCCTAATATTGCCTGCAATAATAAGATATATAAAAAAGCCATGTTGACCGGATTCACGAATATCTCGGAAAACCATTTGATGATTTCGAAAATGCATTTAAGACCCTATTAATCATTACTGGGCGTCGGAATGAATTCAGAAAAATGAAATCACTGAAACTTGGATCGATGATGGGGGGATGACTTTACACGTGACACCCCTTGAAAGTTATGGATACAAAGTACCCACCCTGTTCGCCCGGTAATCGGTTCACACGTGACTTAATCCCAAAAATCGTCTCAAAGGTGAAAATGTCACGCGGGGTTCGTAACTTTCCGTTTATTTTGTGTGAACTCGAGCACTAGGAACACGAGAACGATTTACCAAATCGTGAAAGTGTGTTCACCAATCTAACTCTCCTTTCTGGGTCCACCCATCCAAATCGAAACACTGATGACGGGTTGCAAACAATTAACATCCACCATGCCGTAGCTCATATATGATCCATCTAAAATACCTGTTTGATATCCTTTAGCTGATCATATGGTCTTAGGAAAGTAAAAATCGGCGAGGACGAGTTCGAGCCCAACAGCTCTTGATGAAGAAGTTGAGGGCTTAGTGGTGGGAACTGATCCCATGAATCGATACTCCTCTCCGCTAAACGTCTATTTGCCTTTATCCGTTGTAACTGCTCAACGAAAAGCTTTTCCTCCCAAATCGTGCGGTTTCAACTCTGCCAGCCTATTTGGTCTGAGTCCCTAATTGTGGGGCGTACTGGTCGACCCAATCCAAGGTCACCTGTTAGAATGACATCAGACCCCTGAGCGTTGAGCTGCGAAATCCCTTGTATCCTGTCTTTGCAGCAGAATGGCACATGTTTAACAATGGTTCAACAATCTACCTTCACATTTCGGTGCTTCTATGCTGCAGTGGGTGATTCGCACACTCCAGTTGTCGCTAATTTCATCATCCTTTCCTCGGTTCAGTTTCGAAGATCCGTTTAAGATGGAGCATAACCACGGTTAATGCTTCGATGACTAGCTCTCCTCTCTATTCTAATTTGATGGTTGATACCATTGAGGTACTCTTTTCATGGAAGCCAACATGTTACGGATTTACTTAAATCGGCATATCGACATCCCATTCACAATAGCGCCTAACATTTTGACGGGTTATTTTACGAGAATAGCTTCCGTGCCATAGGGCGTCTTTAGTGAGCCTGGCCTTATTGACACGAAGGGGATATGTTGACCAAAATAACGCTACTTTTTTTGCTTAGCGTGCATTTTTAGTTCCTTTCGCCTACTAGGGAGGATTTTCATGAATTGGCATTTTGCGCACCAAGTGGAATACCGGCCAGGGTAGGGCGTTGCAGTCACCATGTCACAAACCCAAAGAGCAGGCAGCAACCGTGCCTTTGAGATATCGGGCGTGCTTGTGCCTGACGGTGGAGTTTGCGTGTGCGAGTTGATGCCTGCAGTGTAATGCGTGCGCGTGTTCGCGTACGGAGATGAGTTCAGCCCCTTGTAAGAAAACTCACGCACACGGCCTCAGTACACAAATACGCACGCGCACATGAGTTGGGCGGTCGTTGCCATGCCTTCCCGCCTCCTCAACCTCATTGATGAGTCATCACGTCGTAGTGCGCTTGTGCGACATGTGTGCATGAATGCCTCTGAATTCGGTTGGAGGTCAAAGAAGAGTCCACACACACACACATGTTTGCGCGCCCTCCCTTAAACGCTGCTCTCAAGGGCGGTTGCTGCCCGCATGCCTTGGAGATGTGCGCAAATCAGGCTCCGTAGGGCCAGATGGCACTTAACAGCGACATTGTAACTGGCGTGCACACACACACACACATTTAAGAACTGTCTGAGATTCATAGAACCGAAGCCCCTTGGCCGCTAGTAATGGAACAAATTCGTGAATCTTCAATTCACAGAACATTGAACAATAGGAAGGAAATGAAAGCCAACAATATCTATGTCTGGCGGAAATTAAGATCACTCAGCATTTTTGCTGTCCTCAAGTACAAAACGAACATAGTAAACTGACATGTTAGCCAGTACAAAGCTAGCGTTGAAATGAACAAAGAGGGCATATTTTTTAAACATGGAAGTTTTGGACGCAATTATGGACTCATGGATTACTGCAAGGCAGTTTCATTCACTAAGTTACAATAAAATGTGCTATTACTAAGCAATTAGTGTTGAATGAAGGGTTTGTGTGGATTTCCACAGGGCTAAGTCCAGATTTCTGACGTGGATAAACCAATTAAAAGCACTAAAAGTGATACCCAAAGCTGCAAAAGGGGAGCGTGTTAACTTACCACTGTAGGCCTCCCTAATGGTGGTGCGCGACAGCTAGCCTGCCATCGCAGTTGCATCCCTTGATTTAATTGGGTGGGCGAAGCGGAAGACGTGCGCGCAGGAATCTTTCCCTTCTCCCCCAATGCACCAATCGGCGGCCGCCGCCCAACGCTACCGGGCGACACAGTAGAGGAAGCAATTGCCCATTTCGTCTGCACATCGCAGACTGCTGTGACTAGCATTTCCGAAGTAGCCTTTGCTCTTCGCTTTCACCTCAATGCCAATTTATACTTCAGGGCTGAAATCAAGGTGAACGTTTTGGTTCTCCCCTTTACTACCAAATTTACACCTTAACTTTCTAATACTATGAAGCGACTGATTTACAATAAGGAACTTTTTAGACTGTAGGATGACATGATTAAGGGATGTGTACTGCATTGTTCTAATTTTAAAACTTGTATTTTTGGTTACTAACGGGAAAAGAACTAACTATTCTATTCACAAGATAACATAATGGCAAACCACATTGTGCATGTGAAGACCTAACGTGTACCTTTTCAGGCTCTAAATGAGTCCGATGTGAAGCTTTCCGAAAGGCGTCGTGTGAAGCTAAGACATGAAAGCATAATGTCTAACAATAAATGTTGAAAATTAAATAGCCGTAGCACCAAATTCCCCAATATACTATCAATCCGAGTTAACTACGTCGATGAAAATGGCATCCCGCACACAGGGTGGAAAGCGCAAGTACATCCGGTTAAAAATGAACGCCAACTTGCCCTCGGACTAATCAGGCTAGTCGGAACGATGGTCATGGGCATCAATACAAACTTCCAGCTTTGGCTGCAACTCAAGCAGTGTGATTCTAAACCACTTTTAAACAGCAGAAGTTGTGACTTTGATTTACCAGTCTAAATGGAATAAAAAACATTTTCTATTTCAGTACATCCTACAGGATTCAAATCTAGGTCGGGTAAAATTCCAAAAAGTCTGCTCTTCGTAGAATTTCGGCAGCGGCAGTGCAAACCATAAAGTTTACTATCTGATCAGTGTTAGTGGACTAGATAAAGATTGCCTAAGGTGTCTGGAAGAAGCTGAGAGATGCTTTCAGATTTCAACGACCAAATGTTGCCTACCACGGTTTCCTTCCCTAGTGAAGAAACCACGACATCGTGAGTGGAGTGAGGTTATGTAAATAGGCTGGAGTGTTTATTTTTGCGTTGAAATGTCCTGGAATATCTGGGTTATCAGACAAAATGTAAACTAACTTGAATTGCTTGTACGAGGGACACTAACCGGTGTCTATTGGACGCGAAGCTCTGGTTGTGATCAAATTGCGGATGAATGAACATCAGGAGGCCTCTGTGGCGCCATTCACAATCAGTGGCACACAAAAACCTCAGAGTAGGGGCCTTAAGTTGATCCAAATGGGCTGTCCCAGTCTACCAAATTTGCATTTCATTTGGTAAAGTGCCTGTCGAAACCACTGCTTTTTTAACACCGGTAAAACTGAATTGAATGTTTAACAAAGTCGCCTGACACAAATTCATTCTATGTCATTTTGCAATCCCTATCTGAAAAACCAACCAACCCAAAAGTGGGATTGTGCCCATTGAAAGTCAATTCGAGTGGACCAATTTAAGTGTCGACTAGTAAAATACACATATAGTTTAACGAACTTACCGACAAATAGAACAGACCGATTCAGGGAAGGTAACAGCAAAAACCGACGACAAGCCTCTTTTGTCCACTAGCCAAATGATTCAAAAGGGACTGGAAGGGGCATCCATAGAGGACGAAATTGATTAACCCTTCATCAAAAAGTCGTATTTTTACGCGTTCGACGCGTCAGTCTAGTATGAATGCGGAAAAAATTAGAATTAAGTTCCGAATGGTTAATAACTGCCCAAATAAGAACTTACGATATTGGGAAAAAAGCCACTTATGCTGAAACGTTCTCATACCGACAATAGACAATTCCAGCCGCTATGAAGCCTTTTCGTGACCTGTTCTCGGTCGCCCATCGGGCTGGCTATCTAGTTCCCTGTTCCCCGCCTCTAGATTTATAACTGTTCATTTCAACGTGATTATGGCGATGAGAAACAACGACATTGACACGTGATCTGTTGGATGCCGACTGCTCTTCGGTGGTTTTGTCGGAAGATTAAGAGGAGTAGGATCTCAGGCCTCACACTAGCACCTAAATATTTCGTGACACTGAGGAACGTATTCGAGGATGTAGAACTTAATAATACAGAAAAATTAGCAGACGAAACCAGTGTATTATAAAGCCAATATAGACAACTTCTGAATCAGTATAATACCGACAAATCCAACTCTGCTATCTGTCAATATTCGCATCGTTTTTCTATACGCCATATTTCCCTTTTAGCATATCTGCCTGCGGACGCGCTTGTGGGGCAGGGATGTGTGGGCTTTCGGGGCGCGTAATTGGTCGTTGTGGCGGCGATGTTGCGTGCGTATGGTCATGTCCCATCGTGGGGAGAGGGGAGAAGACCGGGGAGGGACATCATGTCGAGTCCGTCGAGCGCGTCTCTCTCACCTCCCTCTGCGCCCGCACCCTGCCTGTTTTATTTGATCTCTGCAAGTGAGTTGTCAAGGCTATAGTGTCTGTAGCATAACGGAAGGGGGGGGAGTAGCGGGCCTGTGAGCAACCCTCACAACCACCGTGCTCTGACACATTTCGGGCGTGCGGGCATGTGGTGATAACTGAAGGCAATAACCGCCATCTCTTGCAACACAGGCTCAGACACCGCACACCCACCAGAACCCTTATGTTCGGGGCGCGGCCACCCGTTCTGTTTCCAGCACGGAGCCTTAAAATTGCGCAAAAGTTAACCACGCTGAATCGTCTGAAATAGAATTAAGCACGCCTTGGTCTTTAAAATAAATGTGGGGAGTAACTTAAATGCAAAGGTTTTGCCTATTGCTCAGCTACAAATGCGAATTATTGTTCCAAGCTAATCGGTTTAAAGGCATCTAACAAGCAACTTTAAACTGTAAAGGCTTTCTCCGATAGATAAATTTAGTGGTCCATCTTAACTCAAACTCAAATTCTGCAGTCACTAGAGCTGCCATGTTAGTGAGGAATTTAATGTTTAAGCCTTTATTTGTTGTACTTCCTTGAATTTGCACAACTGGTTTTGTATTGCAAACTTTTTTGTTTCAATTCTCCCCACAAAAATAGCGCCAAATTTAGTAGAAAGGATGGCAATGAGATTCGCTAATTCGGAAATTGACTAGCTTTGTGGTAGGTAAAACAGATTCAGTAGGCGCGTGCTTGGCACGTGTACAGCATTCCGTTAAGCTTTATCCTTCCTTGGGAGAAATGTTGTGTTCCGTGAACCCATCAACGATGGTCGGATCTTCTGAGCAGTATGCTGGATTCTATGTGCCGTAACAATTTCGCCTTTGCTGGCGATGCAAATTCAAGGTTTATGCAAATGGCCGCCTCATTCACCACCACCACCACCTTTTGTGGGCTTGGGATCCCTCGTTTTTGTTTAGAAAGAGTGATCGGTCTTGACCAGTGCACTCCACCTCCCAATTTCCCTTGTCCAATGGGTCGTGGCAAGAGGTGTTGAGGCGCCCAAACATGGGTCCCCAACCCCACACTCCATCACATCGCCACGCGATTATGTATGCAAGAAAGGTCTCATGGCTAGGGCGACCCCCTCACCCACATTACCCGATCGCGTGTTCCCCGAAGGACACGAAATGCAGAATTCGCAGACGATCGGGATTAAACAAGAGGGGAACCAGATATGAAAAGACACCAAAGCGAATTACCATTACCCAGCACCACACCGCGAGAAATCGGCCACTACCAATGCAAATAGAAGTAGTTTGCATACACACAGACACCATATCTATAAGGCCTCTCTTTGCAGTGTTGGGCGTCGTAAGGGATTCCCTAGGCACTGTTTACAATAGTCAACAACTTGAAATTTAGTGAATGATAGCTCCACTCAAAAGAGCGTATTTTATTTGCATCACTGGGAGAAGGTTCTTGACGTCAGGGCAGCGATGAAACTGCATAATTAATGAAAAAAGAAAAACTACAAGGGAAATTTTTTAAATTTATACAAAGCAGATTTTGTTTTTACCGTACTTATAAATTTCGAACTCCACTGAAGGGATGTTATCAAAAATTTGTACTTAATGTTTATTCAAGGTGTTAAGTTATCATTCTAGGGCCTCGTGTAGGGTGTTGCTGAGACCACGCCTCGACGGCGATTGGTGCGAGAGCCCCATCCGTGTAGAGGGGGCAACGAACAGAAGACCGCCAGTCGATCAGCCGCACATGGGGGCGCGCGCAGCAAGGACGGCGGGGTGGGGACTGGGCAAAGCCGAGTCGACGAGGCGGTTCACTTAACGCCAAGTCAAAAAGACTGGCATAATAGAGCCTTGTTATGGTATCTTGCTGAGAAAGGCGGGTGGCGAAAGCAGCATACGGTCAAGCACTTCTTTCAAATAAACACGAATTTTCAATATTCGTATGCCCTCGTATGGAGACTTTCCGCACTGGTAATGTCTCCGTAGTAATGGTGCATCCACGTAAATTGATGATCCTATGGGATTCCAAGCTACAAACTTACAAACTCAGATGAGCCTACAAACAGCCCACTGAGATTCCCTTGATATGCTGCTGATTTTAACTTCACCTTCTACTTAAGGTGGGTTCGTTAGACTGATCGATAATTACATCTCGAGGGTGCAGTTATAGAAGCTAATGGACCTAATATTGGAATAACACGAATCGAAATTTAATTTCCATTCATGTGTTCTTTTTGTGGATGCATGAGTCAGGAAGCGTGGCATATCGCTGAAGCATCAACTTAAGCATTATCGGTAAGACAGCATTTGACTTGGCACGTCACGGTCTCTTGAAGTAACATTTTTACTTTGGGATGCTACTTGAACCAGGAATATAGGTCGAAAACTAGTAAATTCGACACGTCGATAGCCACACGTAGATTAAATACATTTGGTTCCATAATCCGATTTTGGGCATCATTATTGTACGATTAATCCATAAAGCAATATTTAATGTCTACATTTAAGCCTTGCAATACCATAAGCAGATTATTTGTAGTAAAAAGCGATTAGAATCCTGGGGTTACCGAAATCATCGCCCGTCTAACAGGTTACAAGCAAACAAAACGAAATGCCAAGGCGCCTTGCAAAATGCGTCTAAGTCCGTTTTAATAAATTGATGAAGGATAAAAAGCATGCACAGATGCTATCGATAACCTATGGTTAGAGCAAGAGTTGTGACTTTATCGATTGGCTTCTGAGACACATGAGAATTTTATCCCCTATATATGTGTATATATGAGAGTTTTATTTTAACGAAAAGCCATGAAAAGTGAATTAGTGTAATTAGTACGTTGATAAAATTTTCAATGCAGTTATGCGTTATTAACCTTTACATTTCGTATCAGGTCTGACTTAAAAGACGATAAGCGATGCATCCAGTATCCCGTTATATGACATGGTAAGAAAATCAACTTTGATTTGTTTTGTCACTTATATCTTACACGATCAAAATTATACCTTTTGTTGGTTGCTTGCTGCAAGATAAAGTAAAATAATTGACTTGATAATTATGCAAACTACACAGATGCCAAGGACTTGATATCATCGTGCTTTTGTTACTCAAATCGCTGTCAGAATTCTGTAATCCATCAGTCCCCTCACTACCCTATTTGTCAAAGGGTAAATTCTTTAATAATTTCCACAACAGCCCACGTATAGTATTTATTACTAATTATGAGTGCAACACCTTTCCCGAAAACACCTTATAAATAAAAATATTATAATTACGAGACCAAGACCTAGCTAAACCAAGAGTTCTAACAAAAAACCCTGCTCACTTAGGCTATGCAAATTTGATTTCCCGTTGGCTGAGTCTGTGACCAATCAGCGAAGGCGTGTACGCTCCACCCATAACGGCCGGAAGTCAACTGCATGCTGATTGGTTGGCCGAGTCCATCGCGCACAGCCTCACACGTGCACGGTATATAAGCCTAGCCAGGGAGCTGGAGTGCTCAAAGTTTCTTCTCCGCCCTCCTGGTAGGCTCCTCCCTGCTCTGGTGTCTATCGTGCCCTTTTAATTTTTTGCTAATAAGTTATTTACTTTATAGCATAATGCTAACACATCCACAAATCTCCGATGGTTCGCGTCCATTTAATCTTGATCAGGTAATCAAGGCAGCTGCTGCAGCAGCCGTGGCTGCCTCCAACTCAACTGAGGCTTCTCATGCTCCTGTATCTTCACCTCTCCCGCCTACCCGTTGCAGCATTTCCACGATTCAGGTACCCATGCTGAACAACCACCTTGTCGAACAACCGCCTCAATTGCCCCTTGGTTTCCCTCCCGAAGTAGCTTTATTTCAAAAGCCTCCTACAGAAGCTGCAGCAATTATCTCGGCACTTCTCAACTCCAATGCCCGTGCCTTACCTACTCCTGTCCCTCCCCGTCTGGATACTTTTGGACCCCTTTTAAGCCTATCAATACGTCAGGCCATTGCTGACTGTCTCTCCAATGTTAGTAAATCAGGCCTGAATATCCGAGGAAGCCTCACCATCTCGACGCCAGATCAAAACTCGTTAACTGTCAGTTTCACCGACGGTGCAGCTCAACCCGTGCAGAAAGCCAACTCTACTGCAACACCTTCCAAAAGGAAGGCGTACCAACCAGTCAAGCACTTCAACTCGACTCCATCCCCTACCGCTTCCTCGTGCTCACCCACTGTGAATACTCAACATCTGTCCGGGTCCACCAGTCCCTCGACAACAGACTCTGGTGCGCTCGATCTCTCAAGAGCGGGATCCTTTGCAGGTTCTGCTCCCATCACTCCAATGAAGGCCGAAGCTTTGTCTGTGCCGCAGAATGTGTCATTTACGCCATTTCCCCTAGTACCATCACGGTCAAACATCTTTGAATTGTACCAGAGACAGTTTCCAATGCTCGACTCTGCTCCCACTATGCTGGCTTTCACACACTTCCACGGTGATCAGGCTGCTGCAAGCCCAGCGAAACGTCGACGCGTCTGCCCCTCTACGGTTCGGCGATCAAATGCGTCGAGGCGGTTCCCATGCAACCAATGCAAGGAGGAGTTCGGGTCCCTTCACAGTCTTGAGGACCACACTGCTGCAGTGCACGGGGGCCACCGTTGCCACATATGTCAGGCACAATTTACTCAGCGTTCCAATCTACAGCGTCATGCACTCAAGCATGTAGGATTTAAGCCATTTGAATGTAAGGTGTGTGCAAAGTCCTACTACCGGAAGGACCATCTGATGAGACACATGGAAATGGGTCACCCTGGCTTTTCACCGCGAGACAACATCATTGTCCATCTCACTTCCTCAGAGAGCCTTGACTTCCTCACTCGAAATTCAATCGAAGGGAACATTACGGGGCAGCTGGAGGAGGGCATTAAAAACGAGCAAGACACTACCGTGAAACTGGAGGCTGATGATGAAGACCATGTAGAGGTTGCCTTGAACGAGACTTGTCCTGTGAAGAAAGAAGAGACCAGCACCTCCCCTGAGTCTTCTTCCACTATCGTGGAGGACACTTCTAGCCCAATGGACCAAGAACCGTCAATGGAGGCTGAACAGAAGCCTCTTGCAGCTGCGTAGGTTGATGTGACACTAATGGATAGCTATTTGTTGGATTTTAGTTGTACAGTTTTTACAGGCTTTTTTAGAACCTTTTCTATCTTTTTGTAAATAAACTAGGATGCTCTCAAACCCTGAGTTCATACACTAGTTTAGGGAGTGGGTTGAGTGCGAGGGAGCAGGGCTGGTAAGCGCTACTCGACCGTAGATGCTGGATCCCAAACGCCCGGCTATTAGGTTACATTTGTGTTTGTTCTTTTGCCTGGCTCCGGTGTGTTCGCGTTTGGGCCCTGCTCGGGTTACACGCCTCCGCTTTCTCCCTGTGATGAGGTTCTTGCCTGTGTCGTGTACGTGCATGTGCCCGAGCGTCGGTTGCTGTGCGGGAGACATTACCCCTGGTTTCCTCCTGCAAACTGTTATCTTGTTCTCCAGGATGCAGGTCAGTATCACGCGAATGCAGGCAAAATGAGGATTCTGTGGAAGACTTCACCGCAGTTACCCCGGGTTTGATAAAGGGCAACGATTGGTCACCTTTTAACCTTTGGTAATGATAGGATGAGCAAGTGTTTTTGCTTAAAGGTCACAAACTCCGGTAGGGGATTTCCTAAACAGTGGTTCGTCCACGGGCAGATTCGCTCCCCTGACTAACAAGACTCGCTGGAATGCCACCTTTATGTTTAAAAACGAAAATTTCCTGGTCTGGCTTGCAAACTCAATGTACCCAGTTCTGTTAATCAGCAGTTAAATCCCTCTAGAGGCTCGAAATCGAAGTTTTAAAAGTTGTTGCGTGCTTTTTCCTGACCATGTGGATTCTGGGACCGCCCAACAAAATACTGGACAAGTCACTGGTGGCGCTGGTTTTCGTAGAGGTAGGACCAATGGAAAGGTAGTAATTGGAGTCATGTATTTGAACCACGTAGGCGTGATAAGTACGGTGAGGAGACTAGACGCATGTGTGATATAACAACAGTTTGCATTGTGGGCGTGACAACCAGTTCCCCTATTTCCGATGGTGTGATCATGGTTAATCTAAATTGTGATTCGCGTACTAGATATTCAGACAAGTATTGTTTTTTGCCTCTGTCATCTTGTACCATATGCCAGCTTTAGTGTTCCGATCTTGCGTAGTAGTTTTGCTGCGTTACGCAAACAGACTGGAAAAAGGCCCCAATAGTCTTTCCAAAACGAGCAGTTCAGACATCCAGGCACGAGGATGTAATGTTTTTTTCTCTTCTTATTTAAGTGTCACCAAGCTTAAGATACCAATGCACACACACACACACACGCATTGGATGCGGTCCAATCCAGTTGGCTCTTTTACCTCTCGTAATCTAGATCCTGAGAGGAGTGGTTGGGAACTCTGTCTGCAAAAATAACTCCTTCTCATAGTAAAGAGAACCTTTCTAATGGGACTTCAGTGTGGTAAATCGGTGTTCTCAAACACGTCATTTCTGGGCCACATGGGTAAGCACCAAGTCACGTGGTCCAACGACACCACATTTCGATTATTAATCAGTTGACCAGGCTTAGGGTCCAATAGGTTCGGTTCTCAGACGGCGAATAAGGCTTTTAGATCAATGGGACTGCGAATTTAAGTGCACAGTCACAATATGAAGCCAGCCGGCCGTTCTCCACCAGACAGGGATTGTCTAGGCTGTATCAGGACTCGTGAGCCTCGACTGCGCCCAGACTAGTTCGAACTGCTGCGCTTCCAGCACGGCCATATCCATTCTTCTAGAGGAGCAAACATGCAAGCTCTTGAGTATTCCATTTCAGTGGTCATAAGATCGATGAGCTTGCCACGAATCAGCACTTTCATATTGACGATTCCTAAATTCATGTTGAGCACTGATTTTACTGTCATCGCAAAATGCGACCTTAGTTAACATTGGTATTTAAGCCTTTGTAGCCTGAGAGCAATCGAAAGCTATCTCAAGCAGATAAAAAGTATTACTCGAAAGGCTGTAACCAGGCTTGTCTGCAAAATGAAGGCTAGGAAATCAGTGGAAGACTTGAAACAAAGTAGGAATGTTATGAAGGAGTGAGATATAGTATACTAGAAATGTCTTTTCCAAGTCCTTCGTTTAATCTGGTGCCTGAGTTGATGACACATCTATAATTTGTGTGAAGTATATGCTAACGGTGTTATTTTTAGGCCGAACAACACAGCCTAATCACGTCGTCCCCTTTTGACACCTCGTAGAGGGGGGGGGGCAGGCCCTCCCTCCAATTGATCCTCGTGGCATCAACACCATGTCAAGATGACATAAGCCTCGTCTTCACCCACGGTGTTGACATGATCTTCCCCTTGCTTCGAATAGGCCACCGGAACATGAAGGGGTCCTGGTCAAGAGGAGAAATAGGCAGGCGATGTTCACTCCCCTGGCCATCCACCCTAGAAATGTTGATGTTCAAACAACTCGTGTCATAATGACGGTAGGGTCCAAACCCACGTGTGTCCTCAAGACCACAAAAAACAAAAAGATTTAATACATACGAATATGACCATAGCTTATGCAGCCTCACTCTACTTATGACAGCAAGTGAAAGTTATTTTTTGTGTTTATCCAACTAAACCCAGTAGTTTATCATCCAATATGTAGTCACACTGGCCTTTGTTTCCAAATGTTCTCATATAGGAGTCGGAATCCACACTTGGAAAACTGTATAGAACAAAAGTATTTTATCAAATACAGAAAAACCTCACTTAAGGAGATTGCTTTCAAAGTGTATTAATTAGTTTTCTAAGTTGTTGGAACATCAAAGTGGCTATTCACAGCAAGGTGATGACTAAAATCATCCACGTAACCTTCTACCATCTTGTTAAGGTTCAAAATTACTGGGAATTGACGTAAAGTGTACACGAGATACCTTCCGTTCATAGAGGTAAAGTCTAGGTTTATGATGCTGACTGTGGCCACAACAGCATTAAGAGCATCAGCCTAGGCTCTGAACTTCTTTCTGAGTCCATTTTTCAGGCAGTGGGAAGTGGTAGTGGTGGAGAAGTCGGCGGTTTCGCAGATCTATGTCATAGGTGAACGGCGATCTTAGTATCGGTATCTCCATATTGTTCGCGTCCAAACCACTGTCCTCCATGTGAACCGATCTCAACAGATGAGTGGGCGTCTTACCTTTTAGACTAACTGCTAGAACCGACTGAAGCGGAATAGAAATTGAATGACGGATAAAACTTGTTTTCAGATATAATGAGATTTAAATGAAACACAATCTGAGGAGCTACCGTGATTAAGAGATTGGGGGAGGGTGGAGTCTAACGGAGAAACTTATGCAGAAGATGTGGTGCAGTTTGTTCTTCCAGCATGTAATACTAGTATACGTCCGGTCCAGTTAACTCAATGTGAGTACAAACGCTGCTTAAAATGGGGCAACGATGGTGTCTAACAGTGGTAATCAAAAGCTGGGGAAATAAAGTGCAGCTAGGGTATACTAAGGGGCACGAAAGTGTCCACGATAGCGCCGATATCTGTTTTTGATATGGCTCTCAAAACAAAAGCACGCTCGTCTCATGGGCCTAATCAGTGCCGTTTCAGAGAATATTTTTTTCGTGTATAACTGTGCAGGGTATAATAAGGAAACATGCCATGTAATCCGCGATATTGTGTACGCTTCATGATCACGCAAATCGGATTAACCTTTCGCAAACCAAGTTAATCTCGGAGGTGAACGCGCGCGAATAACAAGCGCTGTGGCTGCCGGTTGGGTTAAATAGGGATTACCCCAGTTTTTTTTATTATCAAAACTACCACTACCACGATTATACTAAATTTGGTTCCAGAAAAAAAATTCTTGCAGGATCGTCAGGTAACTATCTTCGACTTCACAAAAGACAAATACCTCATCGTAACACAGAAAGTAGACCTGTGAAGATCCAGAATAAGGCCTTCGGTTACAACAACTTGAAAGGCAAACAGCCACATCACTATCTGAGCTCATAACTATTGTTGTTGTTTCGTTATCGACCAGTTACAATTGTCATCCATTTTCAGTTAAATAGTTGACTGGTGACCCAAACAACTGAGTCAAATGCAATCAATGAATTAAGGTCAAGTTTCACTGCGTCTACAATGTATAACCGTTGAGCCTCATTAAAGCTGTCTGTGGGGGCAGTGATGAGGATCAACAGAATCTGCAGAATCAACTACAGAGGTAAATCAACAACTGTGCTGCGGATAAATTTAAGTCAAATAATACCAAATATGAACGTCATCTTGTTATTATCGGACGACTGAGCGATGCGAGGGTGGGAGTGGGGGACATCCAGTAGCTCTTGAACTTGTGGAAGGGGTGGATTGCAGTTTCAAGGCTGCAGCACCTGTCGAGTCCACACCTGAGTCCATTGCCGGCAAATAATTTACCCGTTTGGGAGAAGACTGGGAGGGGAGGAACTGTCGATTGGAGAGGGGTCCAAATGAACACCTGTACGATGGAGAAGCATGCGAATGGTGGGGGTTTAAGATGGCGATAACCCAGCTGTGCGCAAGATAGCATGCCACCCTTCCTCCCTCCCTCCCACCCACCACGACCACTACCACCACCACCACCCAGGCTCGTGGTGCACGTGGTTGGTGTGCGAGGGCGCATTCCGGCCTCCTGGGCAAGCTGTGCTCACATTCGTGTTGAAGCCGGCTAATGGACAAAGCTTAGGTGTATCCGCGTGAATAGATCTACTTAATGTAAGGTATTCATTCCGAAGAAAACGCAACTGTTAGAGCGGTCTACGCAATTGAAAAAATGTAAGATAATGGATTACCATGGTGTCAATTAGTATTCAACTGAGCTCGCTTGGCCACTTTCAAGTGTTGTTGATTAAATGGGCTATAGCTTTCACGAAGCTGTCGATGCCTTCGAGTTCATTAAGTTAAGTAACGAAATCAGCAGTGGTATGGAGCGAGTCGCCTCTTAGGAAGTCACACAGTGTCCTTTCAAAATGCCCTTATATTGGTATGAACCCAACAATACTAAACGTCTTCACAGCTTTGAAAACAATTTCAAGTGTTTAAATAAATTGTGAAAAGCTTGTAGTGAGCCGACAATCTACGTTGACAAGGCCCTGACCGGAAGGAGAGTGGAACTGCAGATGACGAGTAGCTCAACCAATTTATTGACGCAGTAGCGGTGTGTGTGTGTGTGCGTTAATATAGATTCGCTAAGCATCGATCCTTGAGCGAGCAGAGTTACATGAAATGAATTCACGAAAACCGCTTGAATAGTGTTTGCTCAGGCTTGCTAACTACGTTCGCCCATGATTGATAACTGTGCTCGCCACAAGCTAAATACGGTGAAACCCTAGCTATATTTGGCAGCCATTGGAAGAGAGTATCTCAGTTAATTGATCAGAGAGTTACTGGCACAACCACAGTTGTTCAGGGTGTAGTCGAAAGAGCGTCAATGCTTCCCCTAATTTTCATGATTAAGCCTTTTTATAAATGAAGGATCTTAGTTTGTTTTACACATATTGAAGCTTGGTTAGCGCTGTGAGCTTCAGCCAGAAGTAACGACTCAGTCAGCGAAGCCAAATTCACTTGGCTCAGCTTCTCAATTAGATTAACATTGAAATCAAATGTTATACTTTAATACAGCTACTGCTTAATACCAGATCGTTTAAATACAACAGTCCCTTCCAGTTAAGATGGTAACCAATACTTGAATTTCCAGGTGTGTATCTAAGACTCGTGTAATTTCAAGGAACGATTTACGTAAACGACCCAGGAATTACCCTCTTAAAACTTTAAATCATGAAACTAGGGGTGAGAGTACCCCTCACTTTGCGTATTTTTTAGAAATATCTAGAGAAATTGGTCGTCAACTCGCATATTTCATCTTCAAGACCTAAACAGGGTTGTGGAGAGAGTAAAAGGCCACAAGTCTCGACACACAAAACCGAGCCAAACGCATTAAGATTCATCAAGTTTTCGTTTGGATGCCTCGTTCGGTAATTTAGGTTTCATTCAATGAAGGTGTAGATGAATTTTCTTTAATCAGAAAGACCCAATTACAATAGCATTCATTCATTAGATTTAATTGAGGAAGACATTCGGCCTGTTGCACCTTCAAAATAAGTTATATGCATTCTAGGTGCATATAAAGCATCTCCAGTGAATATTCTGAAATTCCTTCAATCGAGTGGTCGTCTAATTCAGACTGGCCATTAGTTGTTCTGAATCCTGCATCACATCCCCAAAACATTCAATAAAATTATTGATTTATCGACTGAACCACACCAGACCGGCATTATTTACGCGCATCTCCCCCCTGATACGTTGTGTGCGAACGAGTTTGCCCAGGAACTTGGGTACTGTGGGTGGACTGACTGCAAGTTTAATGCACTAAAAACGAGTTTCAAATCTTAGTGGATTAAACAAAGGCATTATTGGGTTTCACTGTCTTGAAGATAATTCAATGGTGGCTCGTAACAATGCACATCTACCCTGACCCGAAAAGAAACGTACATTAAGCTGTAATCAGCTGAGCTCAATAAAGGCGAAGTAATTGGGGATTCCAGTAGAGGTATTCTTCTTAATAAAGTTAACCAAGCTAAATGAGTCCCACCGCGAGAGCCATTGTTAGTTTAACATCTGTGTGTGACACATCGAGCTTTTCCCTTTTATGGTAAATTGTTATTGCACATTATCACGACGTCGTCTGCACCGCGTTTAATCGGAATGTTACCGTAGAGGGTGGGTAGCAGTGCCATTAACTAGCCGCATTAAAATAAAGACCTGAAGTGCAAGTTCAGGAGTATCCAATTCATCCAAACTGGGAATAGATTCCACATTTTGAGCGAGTAATTTAACATTTTGGTTTTTTATTCATGAAGTCATTACTTAATTCAAGTGTCAAGTAAGATGGTGGTGGAGAACCAGGCACACGAGGGTCTAGAGGGATTATTACTCTACCGAGAAGTCTCCAAACACTCAATATTTTCAGCACGATTTCTAAGGTTCACTGAGGATTCAACACCACTGTGTAATTGCTAGAGAGATGATTCAGTTGGGATAAGTTTATCTAATTTAACTTTCTACAGGACATTAGTTTTAGTAAATGTCTACGTGACTTATTTCTAATTTCGGGGACTTGCTTGGGTTGGTGGTGGTGGTGGTGGTGGTGGTGGTGTGATCAGCCGAATGCGGAGCCTCCTTTCATCAGAGTCGGAGGTGTCAGATGACTTGGTGCTAAGACTACTTGCCTTCACATGTTCATATTCAACTGTGGATTTTGTTGCTGCCTTCTCAAAGGTAGTACGTTGTGTTGATTAAATCCGGCTCACCAAGCGACTAATCTCGGAAGGTTCATAAACAGCACGAAATCCGGTACACGAAATCGGATGAAGAGAGTGAGATTCGTTTTCAGCTATAACCTCAATGACAGGCTTCTTCCTACCAGATCAGAGACGAAAAAAATTGGGAAAATGACTGGCCACTATGCGCGTGGCAAAACGCTTACGTTTCGGTTTTTAAGTTGAAAGAATAAATTAAAACAGGTTGAACTTTTCTCTGAACCTGTGTTCTGTTCGGAATCATAAGCACGAACTGGTGCGATTTCCATGCCAACTCAAGAGCTTCGAGTTTATCGTAGTGCATTCTCGTAGACACGAGCTGTCCAGCTGTTATGACCCAAGTGACCTAGGGACAAACGGAAAGCCTTAACAACCAAACCAGGGCTGTAAAACCAGAAAGCCTAACATGTGGGTCCCCCTTTCCCACTGATATTCCCATTCGTATAAAGTAAAACTATTTCATGACTGAAATAAACCCCACTTAGGGATGTGGAAATAAATTCCTACGGCTTAACGTTGAATCGGTCCAGTTGGTGAGTTGTGGTGGCTACCACCGGCTTCAGACTATGCACTGGAGCATGAAAGGAAATCGATGCACCTAGAGCCCAAGGGACGGGGGCAATCGCACTGAACTTACACGCGGTCGCAGAGTGCATTGCAAAATGCCAAAGCCTCAAATACAATGACATAGAAAACGAAAGGCACCAGTTAGGCTGAATTGCCCCGCCCCCAGTACATTCCGCTCTCTACCACGTATAGGAGTCCAAAGGAGCATAGAAAGAGGCTTTTAAACTACATTACAACATGTTACAGAGTCGCCCCATTGCATCTCTATTTCAGGGATATTGTTAGGATTAAGCTTTTAATTCACTGATACGGTCAACAAATCCTCTAATAGCAACATTGCCTATGTATCGACACTCGGTGTTTTTCTCATGCCTCTGAAACCGGTGGCTGGAGCACGGATGATTCCGCCGCCAGTCACAACGAACGCTGGTGCCAGGTCCCGCGCAGGCGCGCGCACACGTGTGGGCCGGCGGGTGCGGAAACACGCCGGCACACACCACACCGCTGTCGCTGTGTTTATGTGTACACGTTCGTTTGGGGTGAAGAGCCTGCTAAGTGCCGTCTGAATGACCCTAGTCGTCATCCGCCTCGGTGCTCTTTAAATATGCCTCATGCCTATTAACAAAATTTCATTGGCACCGTGCAAAGAATAACACGATCACATCCAAGCAGACGCGTGAATACCTGTTTTGACGTCACCGGAGTTCATTTACCTTACCAGTTTTCAGAATATAGTCACAATGACTTATCAGGTAGTGTTCCGCTTTACCAGAAATATGTTTTGTTTCACTTGGTGAATTTCATTTCCCTCCCGTTATACCCCATTCTACGCACAAGCTTTCCAATTCTATCTGCTGTTATGGCTTTATTTGAGACAAGACCTTCGCTCGTTGGTAGAAAGCCCAATCTGGTATCACATATTTCTAGTCAGAAATTTTAGACCACATTAAAATTAGTGCACCAATCGCAGATCAAACAGTGGATCTGCGACCTCGGGAAGAATTTTAAGTCGTTATGATTCATTTAAACATGCAAAAAATAGTCTAATTATTAGATTCACTGTAGTGAAAGGTTTTCGAAATCGGTGCAGAAAACCATTGCGTTTCGGATGTAGTTGGCAATTCAACCCAAAAACAGTTCATATACACCACGTGACGGGCTTCGGCTACCTTTTACCCTGACGCGATAATGTTTCTGGGGTTATACTGAGCCGACCTCATTAGTAGCGACGCAGTGAGATGTAGGTGTGCGTGTGGGTTACACCAGCTGTGCCATTTTCAAGGCCTGGCCACGAGCGCCAAAGCAGCAGCGATGGTGAGGAGGAGGAGGAGGAGGCAGAGCGCGTTTGCTGTGTTCTGTGGACATCAAAATAACACACTATTGGTCTAAACTGATCCCCTGTGTCTAAAGCAAGTCCCCTTTGAGTATAAAAAAATATCAGGGCAACAAAATATTAAGTCCATCCTGCTTTCTGTTAGCGTGTAGTACAACTGACGGTTACTTTAATTACCATGGAAAAGGGAGAGTAAAATTAGTAAGTCAACAAGGAACCAAGCTGTAGTGGAAATCCTCGTTTGCGGATTCCTTGAAGAGGATTACAAATTGTACTTCGTTTATCAGAGGAGGGGATTCCGTAAATCAGAAAGTGACTGTGGGCCAGATTTTCGCTATTTATTTATTTATCCCAAGAGTTACGTTGAGGTTCATATTGTAAGGGTCACCGATTCCGAAGCCACAT